CCTTGCCAAATGATGACAAATTGATTAGCGGAGGTCATTGTTCCTTTTTTTCTTATCCAATTTGTTTGTCTTGAGGTAATTTAAATAATGTTTTGAAAGATTAAAATTGTTAACTTCGACTTTATTAAATTTTAATAATAATTAGAAGAAGATTTAATTTTATAGAGAAATTCAATTTTAAATGCATAGTATTTTAAAATATCCAAACAATGTATTTAAAATTACATGTATTTAAATTTTATTTTTTTTAATTCAATCCAAACAATGTATTTTAAAATACATGTATTTTAAATAGATGTATTTCAAATACATGTATTTTAATTATACTCATCAAATTCAAATTCAAATTCAAGTTCCCAAACACAACCATGAGGATGTTGCTGCTGTTTTATTTTCAAATTCTTGCTTTAGCTATTCCACGGTTCAAGCTAAATGAAGGGTTAATTTTTTCAATTGAGTTAATTTAGGATTTTTTAGCAAAATTTAATCTTTTCTATGTCCCATTTCTAGACATATGATTTATTTGGGGGTTCTAATTTCTAATACAAAAAGCTTGTTTAAATTGCAGACAATTCCTGTTAACCCAAAGCCTTTTTTGAACAATCTGACCGGAAAGACTGTGATAGTGAAGTTGAAATGGGGAATGGAGTACAAAGGTAATATGTTTATTTGCTATTCTCCCTCCTCCTTTGTGGGTGTTTCTTCTTCTTCTTCTTTTTTTTTTTTTTTTTTTTTTATAATGTTTATAAAGATTCTTAGTTATCTGTGGGCATTGTTATTCCAACACTAAGTTTGATCGGTTGGTTTTTTTTTTTTTACAGGTTTTCTCGCCTCAGTGGATTCCTACATGAATCTGCAGGTATGACTTTATGGTTTTTGTATACAGAAATTTTGAGTAAAATATTTTTGGTGGCAACCAGCATTTTAATCTAACATTTTAGTTTGAACATGCTTCAATCAAAAATATGTTTTCTGAACTTGGTAATGGCACAGTTTTGTTCCTGAATATTCTGCTTTTAAATTTTTCTGTGTTGAGTGGTCACTGTGGCTAATATTTTCCAACAATTTGAAACTTTTTCCTGTAGCTTGGAAACGCTGAAGAATTTATTGATGGACAATTCACTGGAAATCTGGGGGAGATTTTGATAAGGTAATTTCTGGTTTAATTCATACTCAATTTTTTTCCCTGGTTTGTAGTATATGTGTATTCTTATGCCACTGACTTAACTGATGGTATCACAAATTTGTTTACTATTTTTAGGCCTCATAAAAGACATAATCATTTATGCTTTTCCATAGATAACAGTTCTTGATCTTATTGTTGTCTATACTGTGTGTATTGGCATGATTTGCTATAGAAATTTAAGTAATTCAACCAAGATTATTCACAAGATTTTCTCTTAGCAATGTCTAAATAGTGTCAATATTTGGACACATTTCTATTTTCACTTACAGTATGGCATAGGATTAAGATTGTAGGTAGGTGAGATCCCTATCAAAAATTGTGACATTATAATGTTCTAAAGTTCTGAATAAGATACATGTTGATACATGCATAGTGTGGATGTGGTTGGCCTTTAACCGTGGGATGACATATGGTACCTCATCCAATAGGAAAAAGATGTTTTATTAGACTGCTAGTGTGGCAATAAGTGATGGTTTGGGTAAGAAAAAAATATGAAAGAATGTTATAGGTCATGGATAGCAAATGGGAAAGACTTATGCTTAAGGAAGATTGAGGATAGGGTCTCCGTTGGGGATCTCATTCCAAGCCCAGCATGCCTGGTCTCTTCTATGAATTACATGATATTATCATCACGCTAGGGTGTTCTGCAGATACCATAATCTATCTTGTATGCAGGAATTTTCCCTCATAATCTTTCTATCCTATGGAGTCACAGTTCAAAGAATGTTAATTATGTTATGCAAATGCTTTACGAAATTATTATTTTTGCTTCCCATAATAAGCTATATCCTTGAGGTTTAGAGAGCTTGGGGTTTTGGGAATATGAACAGGGAGAAGCAAAATTTATATGGTGAAATAGTCCCTCTGCATTCACCCTTTTCTTATTTGTTGCCATGAGCAAGAGTTCATATTTTGTTTGTGCTCTGCTGGAATGGCATTCAAATAATTAATGCCAATGTTCTTTCCATTTCGATGGGAAGTTTTGTTTTCAGGATGGATTTTATGTTTAAATGCTTAGAACTTGAATCAAGTTGTCAAATCAATTACTTAAAATAAACTTTCCCTTTGCTAATACATATATGATAAATAGATCTCTGTAGATAGAATTTCAATGAGATTGAGATATTATGCTCGTTTTCAAGTGGAGTAACTGATATTTTCTTTCTTGGTGCATTACATATGCAGGTGCAACAATGTTCTGTATCTTCGTGGGGTACCAGAAGATGAAGACATAGAGGATGCAGATAGGGACTAAAAGCAGTTTGATCATGGTTTAAATAGAACGGCTTTATGGTATCTCTGTTGTAATTCAAGTACTGTCTAAAAAACATATACTTGAAGGTTTTTTCTCCTTAGTTGTGACTTATGTAGTAATTACATTTTGAAATGTTATTATCTGCTCTTTCTTTGTATGCATATGTTATTATCTGCTCTTTCTTTGTATGCATTATACCCTTTCCAGATTTGGGGTTAAGTAATCCATCTGTCAGGGCATACGCTGGATCCTTAAAAACTTCAGAATATATATATATATCCATTGAAATTTTCTTTGACTAAATAAATAAAATTCTAATTACTGTTTCAAGAAACAACTATAGGTGGTGTCATCAAATTTGATTAATGGGTTAGAATACAATAGGGATAGGGATGGTACTCTCCTCTCTTAATTCTGTACCTCATCATCTCAGAACTTAAATTTGAAAGTTTTTAACTCATTAATCTCTTACTAAAACAGTCACCAACAATCATGTCTCTGCCTCTTGTCTCAAAACTTAAATTTGAAAATTTTAACTTATTAGAAATCTTATACTACAATACTCACCACCATGTCTCTGGCAGGATCGGCAAAGGCTTGTTGTAGTAGGGCAGCAGGGTGTGGAGTTTAAACCCTGCCCCTGCCTAGTATCACGGAACCCCATTTCCCGCCCCTCTCAAATATTCCAAGTCAAGGGGATGAAAAAACACACTTTACGATAGTCACTTCTTATTTGTAAAGAACTTCTCATATTAAGTTTACTCGATATGAAATTTGAGTTCTACTTTAAATATATATATAAAAAAAAAAAACAACTTTACCAAAGCACTCATTTAAAAGCTTTTAAAAATAAAAAATTAAAGCATGGTTTGACTACACAGACAATGCTTTAGCCCCTATGCATAATTGTAGAGTTTAGTATTTTACTGTTTAAATTATATTGAATTATAAAATATAAATTATTATATAAAAAAGCTTATATTTATTATAAGATGATCATTCATCATTTAATGATTAATATTTTATAGTTCAAATTAAAAGGTAATTTTTTTATG